ATGAAGATCAGACACTTGTCTGGAAAGACTTCATAACATGTAGCTGATGCTGGTATACCATCTTACATTGCAACTAAGGGTGTTAAATTGACAATTGCCTTATAGTATTGTCTTCAGTGATAAAGTCTAAATACTAAGGCTTTGTTAATCAGTTGAACAATGGAAATTTTTATTATTTTAATCTACATTTTGATTACTAATATGCTATCTTTTTACATTAGCTATTTATATTTCTCACTTTGTTAATTAACAGACTTTTTTCCTTTTATTGAAATGCTATTCAGATAGTTTATAAATATACTAAGAATGATAATTTTAATAATTTTTATCATCTTATGATTAAAATTTTCCTAATTTCTTATGCTTTTTAAATTTATACTAGACTTTGACATATGCAATATTTTATGTAAGAGCTAAACATGTTGATCTTTTATATGTGCATTTCTTAATGATTTTAAAATTTAAAGTTCTTCCCTATCCAGAAGTTTATTTATGTCCTACTTTTGTTTTAGAGCCTTAAAAGAAATTCCTCATGACATTTTAAGCTACCATCTTAATTATGTTTTAGAACTAACAATTGCTTAGATAATAATGAAAATTATCATTAAAATTATCATTTAATTTGAAAGGCATCAGATAGATAAATAAGAAATAAATCTACTTCAGGTTAAGGTAATAAAAGAAAATACACAGAAGAGAAGTATTGGTCAGGCAAATTTGTTAGCTTGATTTACTGATTGTACCTCTTGTTCAATTAAGCAAAGTGTTTTTTAAAAAATATTGTAAGTTTTGGAAAAATGATATTTTGAAAAAAATGCGTAAGTGCCAAACACATGTAGGTGAGAAACAATATCCAAATCTATTTATCTCTAGGTTATTGAGTTTAAAGCTCGTTTTCCTTTTTCATATTTATATCTTCTAATTTCTCTACTTTTTTTTTATGATTTCAGAAGCAGAAGTAGTATAGTATGCTCAGTGGGTAGATAGATCCTAGAGCTGAACTAGCTTCACAAAAACTTACTGCTATGTAATAATGGACAAGTAATTCTACCTTTCAGTGACTCAATTTATCTGTGAAGTGGAGACTAATATTGAACTCGCTTAAGAAAATTGCCTGGCAAGCAATAAGCTTTCAACAAATGTTAGCAATTACTAATATGCCAAGTTTTATGACCATAACTGTTTACGCCATGTACGCTATATGTGCTTCATATGTATTATCTCATTTGATCCTGATGTTAATCTGGTCAGGTGGTCACTGCTGTACAGACGGGGAAACTGAAGCCCAGACAGGTTCAAATCTTACCAAAGGTCATGCAGTAACCGGTGAAGCTGGTATAGGCATCCAAACCATTTAAAGTCTGAGCAAGATACATAATACTGTCTTCCATTGTATAAGGAAAATCTATATCGATACGGTGATTTTTCTAACTCTAGTTCTAGACCCTAGGTATCTCCGTGTATGTAGACTTTTTGTTTGTCACCTAGCTTCATAGAAAAAACATAGAAAGAAGGCTAATTCTCTAAAAGATGTGATGTGATATTCTCCTATCTTTTCAGAATGTGAATTGCTATATAATCCTGTATTAGTACCCAGCTATATTACATGAATGACATGGACATTTTTTCATCAACAGGACATTTATTTTTTGTGGGCATGGACTAAAACTGCTGAATAATTTAACCCTAATCGATATTGTGGTCAATGAATGCAAATAATTCTTTTTCCTATCAATTTGCAATTCAAATCACTTTGAACTGATTACAAACTGTGAAGTGTATGTATGTGTACATCTATATAATATACACACATACATACATGCGTATACATATATATATGTATATACATGCACACAGAGGGTGCAAAAAATAATGTATACATATTTCAAGAAAGAACTATTAAGATTGTAATATTTAATATATGCAAATAACATTTGTTATCTTATATATTGTATCTTATAATTGCAGAAGTCAAACGTGACTTGAGTATTACAATTTTAATAGAGTTATTATTCCTTTCCTAAAATGTATACGCAGTTTTTTTAGCACCCTCTGTGTGTGTACCATGAAGGAGAAAGAATTAAGCTTGGGAACTCCCATTAGGATAAGGAAGTGAATATGAACCTAAATTAATTCATTCAGTTAGCTTAAGTGGCAATAAAATGTAGTATTCTCACAACTCATAACTTTTGAAAAGATGATGAATTTTACTCAAAGCGGTTTTTGAGGGAAAGATTATACAGCCATATGGCTAGAAAGGGGACTCTGTCACATTGGCAACAGACATTATTTAGAGCACGTATCAGTCACACGTGCCATGTTTGACTCCTTACTGATTGTGAAAGCGGAGCTGAATGTACATATTATGCAGTTCATTTCTGCTTAAATTCCTTCCTATCCAGAAATCAAGGTTCTTTATTGCCCTAGGAAGAGATAATGTCAGCAGCTCGCAACCTGCTGAAGATGAATGCTCTCTTAATGCTGTCTAAAGGGTAAGCTTGTAACTTATGGAAAATAAATGTCAAGGTGAGACATTGACTTAGAAATGATGGTTGCCCATAAGGGCTATATACCTGTTGTACTATAGCTCAGGGGTAGACTAACAATTTGTCTCACT